AGAACAATGGAAGGTAAATCACAGGTAAAACATTAAAATTATATTAATCTTCATATTTAGTGCAACAGAAATTCAGTGGAAGTCCTTCAGTTCAGCAAACAGTTAATATTTTGTGTCCCCCTTTTGCTTTAATAACTGCAGACAGTCTTTCAGACATTGTTGCAACATATTTAATCAGTGTCCTTTGGTATTTTACTCCAAATGTCTCTAATACACTCCCATAAAGTTTCTTTATAAGTAACTTTTGATTTGTCAAATTTTTGATCTATGAAATCCCAGATCTGCTCAACTGGGTTTAGATCGAGGCTCTGTGAGGGTCACTGCATCATTTGAATGACTCCAGCAGCTTCTTTCTTAGCTAAGTAATTTCTGCATAGCTTGGATGAGCGTTTCGGGTCATTATCGTCTTGGTAATAGAATCCTTTACCAATAATACACAAACCACTGTGTATACCATGATGGACCGGTATCTGATGGTACTTGCACTGGTCCATTATTCCATCTATTTTGCAAACACCTCCTGTCGCCTCAGCAGAAAAAAACCATCAGACTGCCTCTCCCATGCTTCATGGTAGGTGCTATACATCGAGATATCTTTCACCTTCCTTCTACCAAACATACAACCTATGCTTTAAACTAGATATTTCAAACTTCGACTCATCCATAACACACTTTTCCAATCATCAACAGTCCAGTTTTTGTACTCTTTGGCAAATTTCAGTCTCTTAACAATATTTGGAGATTGAAGTACAGGTTTTTTAAATGCTAAATGACCAAGTATTCCATTCTCATTGAGTCTTCTTGAAACTGTAGATCTGAACACTTTTTTGTCATGTGGTATATGGTTATTTATCTCATGCTTGAGATCAGTGGCAGTCTTCCTTCTATTCCATAGGCTGCATAAACGAAGATACTTAACATCTGTATCGTTGAGTTTAGGAGTTCTGCTTCTTCCTTTCCTATTTTCAAACTTACATGTCTCGGTCTCATGATCTAGGGTTTACTTCACAGTGCTTGGGGAACATTTCAAGTCCGCAGCAATTTGTCGGAGAGTCCAACCACCATCATGTAAAGCTTTTATGCAAACTCTCTGCTCTACTGACAATTCTCTCTGCTTTTTGGGCCATGGCATGACAACAAAACTTAATATATATAATGTTATATACTGTTTTTATCAAGGTTTATTTGTGAAGTGCTATAAGATTCATTTCTTCTAGCATATACCAGTACCATATGCTAGCTCCTTGCTAGCTTCTTTCTATATAGTTAAGACACTGCATGGGGTACCCTGACAGTTATTTCAGACCTTAAAT